GTAACATTGTTTTATTTTTTATGATTAAGCTAGCAGCCATTGTGGTTGCCCACATTCTTTTTTTTTTTCAGCTCATGGACATGGAGAAAATTCAACGTATCCTCAGGCAGCAAAGGCTCATGGGACTTTTCATAATTTAAAATTTGAGTATATGTGGTCTTATAAGTTGTGCAAATTTATATATGGGCTTAAATCTAATCTAAATGTCTCTTGTAGTTACTTGTATTTTATATTTAATATTAACATCATTACAATCTAGTAACCAGGACAACTGCTGGTGGGCCAAATCAAATGGCTCAGCAGGCCAATTTTGGCCCGCGGGCCCCACTTTGGGCACCTCTGTTCTAGACTCTTATCACTGAATATTTAGCCCTAAAAATAAGACTCCGTTTTAAATGGGCTTGCTCGGTCACTATTAAAGTCTTTTATCCAGAATTATAAAATTAGAATAAATTTCAGAATCACAATCTAGTGGGGACTGAGTCAGCAAGATGGAGAATGGAATTGGGGAAAAGGGTGACATCAATTAGAACACCACATTTATGGCTAAAACTACCAGAATATGTCAAAGACTGTGACAATTACTCTGTTGTTCAGGAGAAACTTAAAATTCATCTTTAAGAAATTTAGTCAAGTACAAATTCATAAAAGAAGTCTGTTTTAACTGGGTAACCTATAGAGTTTGTGTGTTTTGTTTCTGTGGATTGATTTTTTTGGTTGTGGTATTCGTTTTACACACGTTTTAAAACACGTTTTTTGTTTTGTTCAGGACAACAGATGAAAATGAGCCTCTTAAATATTGATTCATGTGCACTTAATTAATAAACAATTACTGTAATCAGTCATTCAAGTTTAAACCTGATGCCTGCAATCCATTGAAAAGTTGTGAAAGAGGAAAAGAAAAGGCAGACATTTTCAAAGAATGTGGAAAAATTTTAGTCTGGAAAAATTGTTTAATCAGCTATCTTTTTTAAATGAAATTTTAGGACATAAGAGTATAAAAAAGCATCCACCCAGTTTTGGTGTTTTTTTATCTGTGTAATTTAAAAAGTGCATTTTGTTACCGATTTCAAAGAATCGTTCATGGCTGTGGTGCGTGATCTTTCTATCATATCAGTTCATTGACAGATAAGAATGTTTAATTTATTACTGAATCGTAAGGTCACTTTATCTGGTTCCTGTTGTCTAACTAAACAAGCTCTGGGACAAAAGCATACTCCCTGCTTTGTGTTGTTTCAGTACCACAGGTTCTGCAAACTCTCTGTACCTGTGATCTACTATAGCAGTTTTTATTTTAATTTTAATAAATCTCCACAAAAGGAATAATAGAAATTAAGATCCTGCAATTCTTTGCCTTTGCAAACACGTATTAGCTAAATATTTCAATTGGCCAACTGGGATTCATTAACACAGTTATGAACATTGAGGATAAGTGTAAACAGTATAGCTGAGAACATTTTCACTTCTCTTTCCTTCATTAAAGGGATCCCCAATTAGTTGTAACATTAGATTTATTTGATAAACATATACTTTAACTATAAAATAAAGACTGTAAAAATACTATAGGATGTTCAGTTTTTATCATTTTTAAACTAAAAGTTTAAAAATATATTACACAGACGGGGCCATTTTATTTACATGCAAAGCATTCTGGGTAAATGATGACGTGAGTAGGTCATTGGTGCGAGGCTGCTAGCGAGCTATATCCACCCTGAAGGTTAATCTTGGACAATATCTGACGATKGGCTCTTTTAAATGAAACCAGAGAGCGTTGACAGAGAGGAGAAGGTAGAAATGACTCAGCCTGTAACTGAAAATATAGATGGAGGACAACAGAGCTGCTTCATGAAGAAGAACCTCAGCTTAGCCTGTTAGCTTTAGCGTTACCCCCGACACTATCACCATAATATATGTACTAGCTCAGTGCTACACATTCTTCTCTCGTCACTGAGGTCCTCCATCCACATGACAGAGAGGGGAACACAAAAATGACTCAGCTGCAACTGAAAATATGGATGGAGGACGGCAGTTTAGCTTGTTTGTCGCGCTAGCGCCGAGCTAATACATATAAAGCAATATAGCGTGGGCGCTAGCGCAAAGGCTAACAGGCTAAGCTGAGGTTCTTCTTCATGAAGCAGCTCTGTTGTCCTCCATCTATATTTTCAGTTCCAGGCTGAGTCATTTCTACCTTCTCCTCTCTGTCAACGCTCTCTGGTTTCATTTAAAAGAGCCAGTCGTCAGATATTGTCCTAAATTAACCTTCAGGGTGGATATAGCTCGCTAGCAGCCTAGCACCGATGACCTAGTTGATGTCATTTACCCAGAATGCTTTGCGTGTAATAAAATGGCTCCGTCCGTGTTAAAATATATTTTAAAAAAATTTACAAAACTAAATAGCCTACAGTATTTTTACAGTCTTTATTTTACAGTTAAAATAAATGTTTATCAAATAAAGTTTGATGTTACAACTAATCGTGGACCCCTTTAAGTTACCAAACATGATACCAAAGAAACAACCATATCACTTGATTTTGTCTGTTAAATTTCCTGGAAGTAAAACTCTTGGGTTGTTGTGGAAGACACTCACTGCATCTCTGAAGCTCTCATGTAGCTCATCCTCAGCAAAGATGTAGAAGTGCAGCGGCTTTTGGCTGAAGAGTAACGCAGACTTCAACATGGTGAGAGTCTCCTCCAGCCTGGGGCCACAGGCCACCACAGCCAGGTGACTCCTCTCATCGTGATGTTCCTTGGCAACCGAGCCTGATCTGTCACTAAAAGAGTCAAGACATAGTAATTAAATCAGTAAGCAAATTAAGCTTTTAATTCATTAACAGCCTGAACATACCAGCCAAACAACAACAAAAAAGTCACATAAGTCTCCTGATTTCACGTCAATCAAACGACACGACCAGAAATAAATTGCTTTACCATGTACCATAAGGATGGATATTTACCAATATTCAGTTCATAAAAGAATAGTGTGGTTCATGTGCTCTTACTAAAACAAGCGTTAAGGCGGGGTGTGACTTCATCAGGGTTACATTCATTTTAGAGCAACTGATGTAAGAGCAAATACTGTGTTGATAAGATATTGCTGTATAATAATCGGTTAGTCAGGTTATGTAATGTCAAGATGCTATCAATTAGTGATAAGTACTCAGTACAAAATGTCATTGTATTTCTTTATGGTATGTTTAATTTTAATCATTCACGAGGTGTCACAATAAACACTGAGACAACAGCAAAAACCTGGCGTTTATATTAATTTGGGACATTTTGAAAGTGGATACAAATTGAAAAGTTATTAACTAGTAAAATTTTAAAGGTTCACAAAATCAGTCATACCTAAGAGACGATTCCAAAAAGCAGTTCACTCCACAAACATCAGCAGGCAGTCTCCAATATGGTTTCCAGTAAGAAACTGACAGTGATTTACACCTGACAGAATAAAAACACCACCTTTTGGATCTTGAACGTTAAATTAATCCCTTTGACAGAACTTTTAAAATGAGGTCTTTCCTCCAACAGTTCATTAACAGATGGTTGTACTCTAAATCCAGCCTTAAACTGAGATTAATGACGTGCTAAATTAGTTAGCGTTAAGCTACCTTGCTAAAAAAAACTTGTAGTGGTTAATAGATACAAAATGAGCAGTTTTGTACAAGTGACAACGTTACCAAGTTGGACTGTCTTTTCTATTAAAAAAAAAAAAATACATCAAGTCTAGCCATTACCTGAACACTATTTCCCTGCTGAATGGCAAAACAGGTTTTGTGTGTGTGGGTGTTAAGTGTCACGTTACCACAGTGAGAAAAAAAAAAACTAAATATACCTTTTAATAATTTTATTTTAACTGACTCACAAGTTAGCTTAAGCTAAGCTACCTGTCCAGTCCCGGTTCGCGGTCTCCGAGGCCTGCCAGACTCGGTGTTTTCCTGAGGACGTGGCCGGTGTCCTGAGCGCTCCTGCCGGGTGTACCGTCATCAACTCCTCCCCACTCGCCGCGGTCCTCCAAGGTGGAGGCTAGCTGACTGAAGACATACAACAACGAGAAGAAGGTGAAGACCACGCACAGGAGAAATGCGTGAAGATAGCATCGCATTTTGCGTTTCGCATTATTGTTTGCGACAAAGAAACGTTTTAGTTGATCTTTAGATCGGGTGCTGCTGACTGACTAACGCTACTAGCAACCCTGCATGTTTACAGTTTTTGACCCCACCCACTTCTGGTACACTTGTTCCGGTTAGCTGTCTACCTGTGACCAATCAGTGCCCACAATCATGTTGTGTTACAGCATGTGAGTTTGTCTGTCTGTTAGTAAAATATCTCTTAACATAAAGTAATATTTTGATGTAAACTCACGGGCACCCAGCCTGATCCAATACAAAAATGGCTACTTCAGCCAGTTTTACAGATAAAGAGCTAACATTTAGGGGAGTGGTGGCACAAAGCCTGTAACTGGAAAGGTCGCAGGTTCACCTCCCCGGACTGACCAGAACCACTCTGGGCTGAGAAAGGCCCTCAGCTGTTCCCTCTCAAAGATGGCAGCCCACTGCTCCACGTGTTCACACGTGTGGGTAAAGTGCAGAGAATTAATTTCCCCACCACGGGATCAATAAATTATTATTATTAACTTATTTTAGTTTAGTTTAGTTTTAGGTGTGGTAGTTGAAGTCATCCTCAACACATGCATATTTATTAACAATTTTGGTGTTAACTTCTAAAATTACACTTTTAAGCAAATTATCGCACAAAACCATTGTTTTAACCACTTCCTCATTTCAGGATCACTGGTGCCCCCAAGTAGGGGTTTCTGCGGACGAGTGGGCATGTCACAAGGAAAAGCGATTCTAAAGCGACACACCTGATTTGACGGACTTTGTTAAAAGGGACACAACTGACTGGACAAGCAAAAAAGGGGCGATACCGTACGGCACCACCTGATTGGACAAGAACAAAGGGGGTGTTACTGTACGGCACCACTTTTTCTGAAGACCCCTACTTGGGTCACATTTCTCCCGGTTAACCTTAGTCAGGTCAGGGTCAGGCTGTAAAGAGATCAAGCAGGGTCTTAAGGATACCATCATGTAGGCCTCCTAGCCCAGTGTTCATGCTTTTGACACGCCCACTCTTGTGACACGCCCACTTTGATTCCGCAGTTAACCCCTTCTCGGTGCCCCTATCCAGCAGTCCCAGTGGGAGGTGCGGGGTACACCCTGGGTTAGTGGCAAGTCCATCAGACAAATAACCCTTCACTCACATCAAGGGGCAATTTGGTTACCAATTAGCCTTTAGTAACATTCACATTTTTTGGTCTGTGGGAGGAAACTGGAGTATCTGGAGAAAACCCATGCATGCATGGAGAGAATATAGAAACTCTACCCAGAAAGGTCCTCGGCTGGGATTCGATCCAGCAACCTTCTTGCTGAGGGGCAACAGCGCTACCAAGTGAGCTGATGTTACAAGTCATCAACTTTATCCAAGCTAATACATAGTTAGTAAACCTTAGCCAAATGTTTTACAAAATGTTTTTAACCTGATCAAACTTAAAGAAATTGAGCTAACTTTAGTGTGTTAGTTGCTGAGAGTCATCCTCAACCTATTCTCTGAACACCAACATATTTTTGCAAGATTTCACTTTAGCACAAACAAATCATGCACACTATCTCACCATAAGATATTCTTAATTTCAAGCTCTAGCATTAAAGGCAGAATCAGGTAAAATGGGTCCCTTCAAGGAGCAAAGATTTTTGTGATCCTGGTGCTTCTGCTATTTGTTGCAAAGACCCTAACAAGAACATCTAAAAATCTTAAGTTAAAAACTAGTTTAAATGCATGAAAAATAAAATATTAAGTAGTTTTCAAAAAAATAAACCAGGGTTCTCAGAAAACTTTTTGGCTGATGTGGTTCGTTCACCATCAGCAATAAAAAAGATACACTTTGACCCCAAAATAAGCAAAGCAGTTGCGTGGTACAGCACTTTAAAATAAAAACAAAATGATACCCACAAAAGAGGAGAAAGGAAACTGAAGGGTATAATTTACTACAAACACAACAGTTTTCTTTGTGAATGTAAATACTGATAATCAAGCTGAAGATTAACTATAAAGAAAGGATTGTTTTGGAGGCAAATCTGTTCAAAGGGAAAACTATTTCTGTGAAACATGGTTTTGTTCAAGAAACATTTTACTGTAAAATGAAACATGGATTGAGCAAATTCAAACATTTCAGACTGAAAAAAAGCTGAAGATTAAAAGAAAAAATGGCATTAACTGCAGAAAAAAAATGGTACACTTAATCCACCACAAACTACTTGTAGATAAGCAATTTGAGAATTGAAGGGATCATTACGAAACAACTTTGCAAAGTGTACAATATTAATTTATATATAAAAAATACTTTTGTTCATCAGATGATGTTAACCACATTAAACATTTCCCCCCGCAACAGTTGAAGCACACAAGAATAAAACATCAATCCCAAAATTTGAAATAAAGTGATGGTTTTAGATTAAAGACAACAGCACTTTTCTGCAGTGCAATAAAAAAGTGTAAAGTTGGACAAGAAACTTGAAAGCTGTATTTATCTAAAATTCTTACACAAGATAAAAAAAACATATCCAAGTATCTACAGCTAACTTTATCCATCATTATTTTACAATATAAAGCATTCTATAGATTAAATCATGCTCAACTATCAACACACGGCTTACTGTTCGATATTTGTACTCCGATATTAGACGTAAACATTATTGCATCCAGTGGAAGAAAATAAGAGGTGAAAAAGGCGACTAAACAGTGTTATAAGAACAAAGTGAAAGTAATGCTAAAAATGTTAGAAACACAAGATGGCCTCAAGAGTAAGACGGTTTTCAAAAATCAAACTAAAATTGAGTGCAATGTGGTGCGGTTACACTCGCATCTGTGACTTAATGCTTCTGTTCCACATCCTCAGAGGGCAGCAAAGTATCCAAACTCAAGTGGAGGTGAATGTTGTCGTACTGGACATTAAAGTTTTATATAAAAATGTTTTTAAATGTGCATGTTGAAGTTTTCATTTCTGGTTAAGGTTGCCAAAACAGTGCAGAACCGTGGGCTGTGCTGACCGGGAGCGTGAGAAAAGTTAGTGAGCCTCTCCGTTAACGGGGGAGCCCTCCCCTCGAGGTGAGGAGCACCTGGAGAGCCCCCGCTCGGCGTTATCGGAGCTTGAGCTACTTTGACTGTGTTGGTCTGCGGAGGCAGTGCTCGCTGAGGAAGAAGCGGGTTTGGATTTCTCTTTAAAGTCTGTGATAATTACAGTCAAGTCTCCAACTGTCACCTCCAGATGCTGGGCACTGCTCCGGTCTATGTTTTTTAATCTGGGCCTGGTAAGACAAAAGAAAGATAAAAAAATAAATAAATGGTAAGAAAGAAGAGATTCAGCTTTACCTACTTCTTTTAGAAAAAACGGGGTTTGATTACCTCATCTTTCTATAGTTTTTCCTCTTTGATGTTGGTTCTTTGTCGCTTTTGTCCTTCTCAGATTTTTCTTTCTTCTCCTTTTTGGGATGTGTTGGTGATGCAAACTGCTGATTAACTTGCTGTGCAACAAGCTGAGAAACAGGCCGCGGCTTCCTGAAAGAAACCAGAAAGCAGTATTAGTTTTTGTGTAGCTATATTTAAAACACAGACCCTGTAAGTAGATCGAGCATGTGGTTTGCTTTGTATGCAGTTACCATGACCACCAAGACCAAACAGCTCAAAAAATAATTTGAACTGAACATTTCAACCTCAGTTTCCAAAACCACCTTAAAAGCACCAACTTATATTAGACCGACATAAATATTCAATGCCTGGTTTATGGGGTAAGGATGCTATTAAAAACATGTTGACTTGCACGCAAAAGGTGCATTTTAATCAATATTTGTGCATCCATCCATCCATCCATCCATCCATCCACCAATTTTCTTCTTATCTGGGGTCGGGTCGCAGGGTCAGCAGCAGAAGCAGAAAGACACAGACTTGCCTCTCCCCACTTAGGCCAGGTCCTCTGGTGGAATCCCAAGATGTTCCCAGACCAGCTAAGAAACATTGTCCCTCCAGCGTGTCCTGGGTCTTCCTCTGGGTCTCCTCTCAGTGCCCAGAACACCTCACCAGATTTTAAATACAACAGCAGAAAACTTGCTGCTGCTTAATTTGGATAAGACAGAGGTGCTAATTTTAGCCCCTGAAAAATTGATCCCTAAAGTTAGGGAGCGCTTGGGCTCTGTGTTCAGCTGTCCATCAGAGTCCTCGAAATCTGGGAGTTATATTTGACTCGGACCTGTCTTTGGAAAAACATGTTAAAAATTTAGTCTCTACATGCTTTTTCCAGTTGCATAACATTTCTAATCTTCGGTCTATGATGTCTGCCTCAGATCTGGAGGTGGTCATACATGCCTTCGTTTCTAGCCGCCTGGATTATTGTAACAGCCTGTTTAAGTGCTTGAACCAAAAGCAGCTAAATCGTCTTTAACTTGTTCAGAGTTCTGCAGCTAGACTTTTAACTCGAACATCTAAATCTAGTCATATCACTCCAATCCAATCAGAACTTCATTGGCTACCTGTTTATTTTAGGATCCGGTTTAAAATCTTGGTTCTTACGTTTAGAGCCTTAAGAGGCCAGGCACCTGCTTATGTTAGGGGCATGCTCTCCACATACGATCCAGTCTGCTGCTTGCGCTCTCAGGATCAAAATCTACTAGCCAGTCCTCAAACACACTATAGGACCCATGGCGACCGGGCTTTTTCATTTACAGCCACTACCCTCTGGAATGCCCTTCCCTGCGCGTTACGTTCCATCAATGATGTTGAACTATTCAAAAAGGGCTTAAAAACCTTCTATTTTAAACAAGCCTTTGGTTAGATGTTTTTAAATGCTGTTGAACCTAGTATCTGTGTGGTAGCTGGATTTCCCTTGCCTTGGTCAATTACTATTTGCATTTCTCTGTAAACGTATATGTAAATGTAAATGGGCTGGTATTTTATTTTCACTGTTGTGTCTTATTTCTTTATTTTTCATTTGGCTCAATGTTGCTGCTGATACACCTTTTGAGATGGAAATATTTGACGGCTCCATGATGTTTATTGTTGCTGTTATGGATTAATTATGTATATCTGTTCTACCTTGACACTGTCCGGTAATCATATCTCATGATAACTAGTTTAGGCTGTTTTACTCTATCAGCCCAGACTTCAAGACTCCAGCAAAGCATGACCTCTTTTATTTTGATAAGGTGTTTCCGGGCTGACAGCCCTATCATTGGTTGTTAGATGGTTCACAGTTGGCGAACTGTGATTGGTTGTAAGCATGTCACAGAATGTTATATTATCGGCTGTTCTGCGCTGTTGAGCCAGCCACAACTTGACAGACTTCTCTGATTGACTTCTGCTCTGTTATTGCTCAAATTAAATCATTTGACAACCATACACGCAGACTTTCTGTGCATTTATTCCAACGTGTTTCTGCATTCTTGGTAAATCATGCCACCACATTGCATTGTTGTTTTTGTATTTTTTTTCGTATTGTACAGCACTTTGTGAAATCATTTCTAAGAAAAGCGCTTTATGAATAAAAATTTACTTACTTACTTAACTAATTATAGTCATTTCTTCTTTTTGAATATAAAAGGAAGTGTGCAGTTTACAATATGACATTTTTGAAAATATAAATTTACAATTGTGATCATGCAATACTTGTCACAGGTATATGAATGGGGTAATAGTTGTGTTTTTTCAACTTTATACAGCCAAGGTGGCAAAGAAACAAAGTTACTTATTTTATTTATATCACTATAAACAATAATTACATCCTAATAGTAAGCAGTATTAAACTGAGTTTATTTAAGGATTTAAACCTATTTATCTAACCACTAAATATTAAAGAACCTATAATTAGGTCCAGGTTACACAGTGGAATAGTTAGTAGAGCTGTTGCCTCTCAGAGAGGTTTGCAGAATCAAATTGTGGATTTTCTTCGGGTACTGTGGTTTCCTCCCACACACCACAAACATGAACATTATTATCTGGCAACCCTTAAACTGTCCCTATATGAGTGAGTGTGTATGCTTGTTTGTGCTGTTTGTTTCTGTGATGGACTTGCAACCTGTCAATGGTGTACCCCGTGACCATGAAAAGCAGATGCAGGTATAAGATGATTGATGGATGTTGGGTGTACTATAGACCTTCTATAATAATTAACTGCTTCTTAAACTTAAGAACTAATAGTTATATGCATTACAATACAATACAATACAATACAATACAGGTGTTACAAAGTTAAAGGACCACATGTCTTAAACTAGATTCAAAGCTTAAAAACAGAAACAATGAACAAGGCCATGATGATAAATATGGTTATAAATAATCAATGTTCTAGCACAGTTATAACACAAGCATGAGCATCATTTGTTTGCAGAGATGCGTTAAACAACTTAAGGACTACACAATGAATTAAGACTAAATGTTCTGCTGAGCAACCATGTTTAAAGACACTTTTAGGACTCTTTCTTCCAGTTCTGGTAATGACTTTGAAGCATAGCTTTTAACTTTGGTTAAACTCTCTTTACCAGAGGTCTTTTCCCTGTTCCTTGTAACCCACTGTCCTGCATGTTTTAGCTGTTTCTCTGCTTCGACACACCTAACTCAAACAGTAAAGTCAGATTGTCGTCAAAATCAGCAGAAACTTGTCGATCGCACATTAATTTCAATTAGGTGTATTGAAGCAGGGAAACATCTTCATAACTGACAAAAATACTACTAAACATTAACATGTGGTGTAAAGATGAAACACTGGGGGTGTTTTATTTCCTTACAAAGGTTGTCTTTTGTTGGTTCTGTAAATTTAGTCCAAAAGCTTCAGATCTAAGTAATGAAGATGTTTCATTATTGCCTGCCCCCAACGGTGAAGGGGCAATAATGTTCCTTAAACCAAAAGACAAGGGGCAATAATGTTCCTTAAACCAAAAGACAAGGGGCAATAATGTTCCATAAACCAAAAGACAAATGTGAATGAAACACTCAAAGTAATCACAGGTTGAACATCTACAACTTAAATTTGATTGAAGCTGACTGCCATGAATGGCTAAACAGTAAACACAAATATAATTCAGTCAGTTTTACAGATTTTGAGCTAAAATTTGGTGGGAGTGATTCCCAATTTGTCCTTTAAGAGCTAACCTATCACGCAAGATCTGTTCTTAAAACTTTCCCATCAAGTACTAGAGTCAACACTGTCTGTTAGCAAGAGATCCTAAATTTTGGGACAGATTTTATTGAAACTCTCAAAACAAATCCTTGGATGTACATCTACAGCAGATAAACGTTTGCAATCTACTTAATTCCAGATGGCTGCTACAGCTAATAACTCAGTTAAATCTACAGATAGAGTGACAATTTGATGTGGTTGTAGCTGAGACTCATTAACAGCACATACTCTTAAGTGTGAACAGAGCTAGCCCATGAGATAACTTAATTTACAAAGTTTGACCAAGCTGGTTATACTATTGTCTCCTTTCATCCTAAGGTGATCTTAGATACGTTATCCTTGGGCTCGACTCCACGTGGCTTCAGAGTCTTTCCACTGGGTTATCATAGAGCTCAGGTTTTAGTACTTCCTTAACCCTGGTTTCAAGCTAGGCCAATCTAACTGAAGACTTGACATCAACCGATGGTGGGTCATTAATTGAGAGGGCCATCTCCTTCACAAGAATCGCCCACCATTTTAAATCTTTGCTACCTCAGCATTTCTTTTTATTTATTTTGTTAAAAAATTGAATGCATCCATCAAAATGACAACACAAACAAACCCCGTAGTACAATGGGGATGCATAGATTTCCATGCTTATTGGATGACAACAGAATTCAGAGGATGCTAGACCAAATGGGCACGGTTTACAGGCTCCGAGCGGGGAGAGGGAAAACAACCTGGACTCAGCCATGGCACTTTTGGAAACTGTGGCAGATAATAGTGTTTTGTGACTTTATTTCACTTCTTTTCTCATCTCTGTGTTGTTTGTCTTGGATGGCCACACTATGATGATCCCGCACACACTGAGGGAGCACGCAAGTAAGGTGGAAAACCACCAGAGGTGTCAAAAGTATTCACATTCATTACTTAAGTAGAAGTATAGATTTGTAGCATTTTCCTGCATATAAATAATCATATCTGATTAGATTTCACTTGTTCCTATGACTGCTCAAAAAAGGGAAGAAAACCCCACTTTAACTTCAGACTATTTCTAAGGACTTTTGCATGGAACTTCCTTTGTGGCTCGATTTAACATCTCTTATGGTGCGTTCACACCAAAAGCGATTTCAGCGTCAGGAGCAGCAGGTTTACATGCAAAGTCTATGGTGGACGCGCTTCAAGCAACGTCGGGAAGGGCTGCGGCGCCTCAAGCGCGATTAGAGCAGCGCAATTTGAACGATTTGAACCATCTGAGCATTCAACGCGCTGAGGCGCAAATCGCTGAAGTTAGAAAATCTGAACTTTTGCAGCTCGACGCGCCGCATCAACCAATCAGAGACTCCACTGTGTGACGTAGCGACAGATTTCCCGACGGGACAGTTTACTAAATTATGTCCACTAACCTGAAACAGATGGAGAGGAGCTCTTTAGCTGAAATCCAGTGCCTGCAGTCGGTGTCCTGATCCGCACCAAAGCGTGGCAGTGACTCATCAGACTGGAAAAATAGTTCTGAAAAGCGAGCTGTGAGCCTCTTCTCTGAATTATCTGGTGAATTAATTATGAATTAATTATCTGACGAACGTGACATGCTCTTGCTCTCTGTAAATAAAGCAAAGCCACTTCCTCGTCCGACATTAAACAGAGCCTGACAGAGGAGGGAGGGGCGGGGAGGCTCTTGCCGTGCAGCGCTTCAAGAGCTGTCCTGCGTCTGACCTCAAAGTGCACAAGCGACCAACTTCAGCGTTGGCTGCGATTTTGAAGCTGAAATCGCGTTCGGTGTGAACGCAGCATTACACCAAACCCCACCAGACGTTCTGACGCCTTACTGTTAATAGATAAGAATTGCCACATTCCTGAACCCCCACAAGTTGGAGTGACCATAAGGACTGTCTGTTCGCTCCTCTTCAAAGGGGCCATAAATGCCTTTAACCAGACTCTTCGGTGACTGATAACAAGGAACCTACATTCTTCATTAAATGTGAAAAAAAAAAAAAACAAGATTGAATGTTTTTATACAACTGTTTGTTTTCATATATCTTAATCAAAGAAATGTGATCTACCTATTTCTTTTTACAGAAAGAACAAAGCCCATTGAAGCTCTACTGTGTTCTCTTTTTAACTGTTTGCCCACTAAGGACTCTGTGTGGTAACTGTGTATTGTATTTAATTGTTTACAGATGGACTCCAGAAGAAGATGTTTCTTTTATTTCATGATTTTAAACAGTGTGTGTTTTATTCCATGATTTAATCCTTAGAAACTTAGGACTTGAATTTTTATAATTAAGTGTAATTATTTTACTGAGGCAAGCAGATGGCTCTCCCTTTTAATTAGATGCAAGATAATTAAACTAAAACACTCCCTTTTTCTTTGTCCTGAAGTAGTTTCTCCCCCAAAACAGATTTGATTTGTTAAAAACTTGTCCTGTATAAAGGTGTAACATTTTTATTGGCCAACTAAACCCTCGACTCCGCCCATAACAGAGGTTGTAAAAGTTAGTGCAGCTCCCGAGATCGACAGAGTTTTAGAGAGTTTTTCAACATCAGAAGCCAGAAACAGCTTTCCAGAAGCTCAGCAGAGGTCCTTCCTGCCAGCCCCTCCCCATGGGCTGGGTAAGATGGTGGCCATTCTGCATCTCTCGCTGGTTGAACGAACAGCCAACGTTTAATATCGACTCAACATCTGAGTTTGATTTTATAGAATTTAAATAAGCTAATTGTAATACATGCATCATTTTTAGTTCGTTAAGACGTGGTCCTGCAGGTTTGTCATTCTGAGTGTCTTGCACTGGGTCAGACTCTGGCTCGTACATGTAAGGCTGGATTGACAAGTCTACCGTTGTTGACATCCTTATACTTTCTTGCCATCTGCCATCACTAATATGCACCTTCATATACATTCATTTTTGTACTGTACTTTATGGTGTATATATGTATATAGATAAGCATATGTGTTTATGTATATGTGCATTGGTACATTACTATATATCACGTGTATATTGTGGGATTTTATTTGTTATCTTTTATTAATCTTTCATTATTCTTCTCAGCCTCTCTTGTATTAAGCTGCAGTAATGTGCAAATTTCCAGACTGTGGGATCAATAAAGTTTTATCTTATCTTATTTTATCTTAAAAACAGTTTTTAGTCGGTAGATAACTTTTTTGCTATGAAACTACAAACATGGCCGAATGGGGTGGAGTCGAACGCTCAGCTACCTGGAGGGGGCGGGGCGTGAAATATCTTATTTGTATTTAAAGAGACCGCACCAAAACAGCTTGCTCTGAGGCAACTCAGAACAGGGGTAAAAGCAAGGAAAGCAAGGAGTCTGTGGAGCAACAAAAACGAGGAATTAAGACCAAAGCGTTGCAGTTTTATTTTAAATAGACCATAAGTGAATGATTTAGACGTGAAAAWGAAGGATTTAAAAGCATGATATGATACCTTTAAACAATGTATGGTTGTTGTAATACACCAACATGAATGTTTTATTCAATTTACTTCGGCGTGTCTAATAAAGACCACGTGAGTGTGGTTTTCATTTTTACCATTAGTGCTGATTTTGTAGATAAATAAACAGCTTCAGGATCCACTCACCGCGTTGATGTCCCCTTCCTGACATCACACATCATACACTTGAACGCCTCAGCGCTGTTCTTGAAGGTGCAGACGCTACAGTCCCAGAACCCATCATCGAACGTCTTGGACTGCCTCTTTGGCCTTCAAACACACGCAAAACACAGACTGAGTGAGTGAAATGTTAACACCAGCTGCTCGGTCACCGGCGGAGTCACTGTCACACAGAAGCAGTCAGCGAACACTCCACCAAACCTGCCGCCATGAACACTTCAGTCACAGCTTCATCCATTCACCGACCGAGCTTTCTGGTCGCTACAGCCTCGGTTTTCAAGTCTTCATTCGAACATAGCAAAAGGAAGAAAAAAAGTTTTACCTGGTGGGACTCTTCTTGTCTCCCATGATAGGAAACCAGGGCTCGGAGGAGTCGAAAAGGCACAATGTTACAGGTGAAAATAAACCAGAAACACGCGCATTAACAGCTTCTCAGCTGTCGTGGAAACTCCAGCCGACGGAAGGTCACGTGGTGCACGTTTAGCCAATCAGTGGCGAGCTCATCACAACAGCTATAAATGTGACAACAGTGACGAAAGGCGCTTTGTAAAATAAATAAATAAATAAATGAAAACAGTGACGCGGATGTGCAAGTACGACCCTTAATGAGGAAGTAAAACCTGTAGAAAATCTCTATAATGCGATAACTAATTGGGTGTAAAAACTAATTACACTTATTAATCATACTTAACATTTGACATATTCATATTGTGTCAAAGGAGAAGCCAACATTTGAAACAGATTTCCTAGTTTTAAAGTTCATTTCTATTTCACATTTAAAGATAGAGCAAAGAGCTGCATAAGTATAAAATATAAACTTACTATTGATGAGGTTATCAACAATAAGTGACCCAATAAGACATAATCTAATAAAAAAATTATAGATTTAGCTTGCATGAAAAGCTAAGCTATAAAGGCTTCTGCTCAATTTAGAAAAAGCCACTGAGAGGAAATAGTTTTCAGGGATGGGAGGACTCATTTATAGTGTAGTTCTGTAGAAACAAACAGTGATTATAACAAAATATCTGATCAGTCTCATTTTGGACAGTTGATGCTGTTTTCAAAGCTGCCAGTCTCCGAATATAATAAGATATGAAACAAGATACTGTATTTCTGCAGGAAATGCCCCAGGCTGCTCAGGAAGTGTTAAAGTTATTTCTGTGACTTCTACTGCTACTTGTGCTGGCAAATGATCACAGTATATATTTATGTAAATAATTGTGAAATGCAACAGTAAACGTGTGTGAGAATGTTTGTATGAACTGCTGTGAAATATTCAAAATGTAATTTGTTGTAGGTTTATATATTAATACAATTTGCTCTTGACACCACTTGGACTAGTTGTTAGCTTGTCAGTCTATTTCCCCCCTCCTATTTTCACTTTAAAATTTTCAGGGGTCTGGGTAGTTCTAATTTGACAGACCAGCTACACCTAATCTCAAATTTGAAAATTAGAGATTATAATAATAATAATTTACAGAAAAACTTTAATTGATTTGGAGATTTCACAATTTTGTACATTGTAGTATAGATGTTTACTTACATTTATTTTACTTTATTGACTATATTTTTCTGCGTTCATATTTATTGATGATTTAATAATAACAATTTAGACAAATTTTATACAGATATACAGTATTTTTTTTTTTTTTTTTGAGCTGGTGAGAGTTGTGCATTTCCTACAGCAGCCGCTAGAGGAGCGTGTTACTTATTTAAAAATACCGAAGAAGAGCGTCAGGCGGAAATATGAAGTTTAATAGCATTTAATCGGTAAGTTTTTTTCCTTTTAAATAAGAAGGCTATGTTTAGCATTGTGTTTATGTTCAGAATTAGTTCTGACAAGAAATGGATCAAAATCAGTTGTGAACTACATGAAAAGTTTAATAGTTTAACAGGAAGAGACTGGGGAGCAGACAGGAAGTCACTCAAAACTATTTATACAGGACTCATCAGATCAACACTGGACTATGGAAGCATTGTTTACAATTCAGCATCAGATACATCTTTAAAAAAAATTAAACAATATTCAACATCAGGTATTAAGAATAATTACAGGAGCATTTAAAACAACACCCACAGGAGCAATATTAGTAGAAATGGGAGAATCACCATTAGACATCAGGAGAGAACAGTTAGCGTTAAATTACTGGGTAAATTTAAAAGGGCATGAACAAAAGCATCCAACACAACAAGTTTTATGTTGGGAAAAGGAAAAAAAAGAAACTAAAAGTTTTGGTTGGATCATAAGTCAGAAAACAACAGAAAATACAAATCAATAACATAGATGTTAGTCCAACAATACCACTACCAGTCATACATCCATGGATATTTGCAGAACCATCAGTGGATCTGAAACTATTAGGAAAAAAGGAAAAAATAGTACTATAAACTCAAATACAGGCATAGATTATATTAACCAATACTTTGGATATCTTCAAATATATACAGACGCATCAAAAAATACAGTAGATCAAGTCGGAGCAGCATTCATAGTACCAGAATWCAAAGTAAAAGTAGGGAAAAGGATCAGTGATAAATTATCAGTACATACAGGAGAAATATTAGCAACATTATTAGCTGTTCAATGGATTGAGGATAATAAACCATTCAGATCAATAATTTGTTCAGACTCCAGCTCTTCATTAATCAGTATAAAAATAATAGTTCAGAAAGTAGATCAGATATGTTATTTGAAATACAACAAACACTGTACAGGATTAAAATGTTGGGATTAAAAGTAACATTCATCTGGATACCAGCACACATTGGAATAAAAGGAAATGAAATGGCAGATAAAGAAGCAAAAAAGGCTACCAAAAATAAAGTAGTTAATATTGAAATAAAATTCAGTAAAACAGAAATAAAAAGCATTATAAAGATGAAAATGAGACAGAAATGGCAAAAACAATGGGAGGAAGAAAGAAAAGGTCGATGGTTGTATAAAATTCAACGGAAAGTGGGAGAAATGAGGACTGGTGGAGGAAACAGACGGGAGGAAACAGTCATAACAAGACTTAGATTAGGACACACAGGGTTAAATAAATCATTATTTATAATTGGAAAACACAATACTGGAAAATGTGATTACTGTGGAGAAGATGAGGATATAGAACATGTTTTAATACATTGCAAAAAATACCAAAATGAAAGAAATCAATTGATTAAAAGACTCAATGAAATCAAAATAAGATTTGATTATATAGAAATATTACGAAGTAATTCAAATTCTGAAACCTTTCAATTGTTATTAAAGTATTTAAGACAGACTCGATTGTATGAAAGAATATAGTTTTTTTTTAGAGCTGTTCCAGTCCACACTCCACACCAGCAGGTGGCGGTAATGAACCTTAACGTTGTTTGACAAAAAAAATAACTAAGAACAAGAAGAAGAAGATCTAGTACTTCCGGTTCTGCTCGTAACGTGTAAGCTGCGTTACGTATTGTAACCCCAGATTCT